GGCCTCTGCGCCGAATGCGATGCACATATAGTGTTGCGTAATTATGCCAATGATGAAATGCTGGTAATGGTAACAACAAAAGGCTCATCAAAAATCGCGGCCCATGGTTTACCTATGTGGCAATCTGTCCAAATTAAGAGAAACTTTTCAGTGTTTGATTATAATAGTAAAATGATAATCCAATTGATTCCTAAATTGAATAAGCACAGCTCGAATCCATTGTGGGCGATAGCGAATGTTCGTCAATGTCCCCAAAATGGTATGATTTCTATAATTTTTTATGTTCTTATTATTCCGAATCTTTTTAATATTACTTATCAATTACGTAATTTGTATTAACATTCATCAAACAATTATATAAGTCTTTTAACATATTAATTTTTTTGTATTCAACTTCTTTTATGTTTTTTAGGAGCTTTGAGAAAGGGCATTATGATTTCTAATCAAGATTGGGACAGTCATAGTAGTTACTTTTGGCCGATTGAGACATGTCAAAAATTATTTTACGATGAACATGCCGTCGTGAATCATTTATTGCGCATGAAATCAGATATAAACTTGGGTAACTGTTAGAATTGTCATTTACGTTATATAACTGAAATTAATAATGTCGTAGTTTGCTAATAATGTTTCTAGAATAGCAAGTTGGAGAAATTATTTTAAAGTAGATTTAATTATTTTAAAATAAATTTAATTATTTTGTCAGAAGATGCAAACTGCCTTCAAGGCAAAATTGGGCCACAATGTTTATTTTCTTGCGAACCTGATTTGAATAGTAACTCTGACTGTAAAGGAGCCAAAATTTGTTACGAAAATGGTTGTACGTGTGCTCCGGGTGTTTTAGGAGATGATTGCCTTGAATGTAAATAATTTCTAATTGCCAATATAATAATTATCACCAGAATATGTCTATATTTTTATGTAAAATACTTGAACATTTTATTTTTAAACTTTTAGTTTGTGGTACATACACATATGGTTATGGTTGCAAAAAAACATGCGGCATGTGCTTCAACAAGAAACAATGTAATATAGCAACTGGAGTGTGTAGTAAAGGTTGCGACAATACTGACAATAACATTATTTACATACCACCTTTATGTCAAACAAGTAACAATCTTTTATATAATACGTAATAAGTTATTTTTATATTATACCAAAGAAATATCTATCACGGTTGGATGTAAATATACCGATTACTTTACAGATGTAGACAGGCCCGACATACCTACTATTATTTTCGTGAATGAGACGACTATTCACAGATCGGAAGAGCACACGTC